CAGATGAATTCTGGTGACGTCATAGTCAGGAGGTACCTAATGACACTCTGGACGTACAGCCTGTATATCTCACACTTGTACTCTCCGTGGACAGGAGAGGCGTCCATGTTCATGTTGTTCCCACGCTGTGTGCTTGAGCCAATAATTCCTCCTTCAGAATGTCAGAGACAGGGCCTGACGAACCCCTAGCAGAAATATAACCATCCAAGAAGGGTGTTGTGATTATGTTGTCCATAGGGTGGTTCCAAATTGAGAAAGAAACACCCTTAGCGTGTCCGCTGCATATGCTGAGGTTTTTCATTTTATGGGCTTCAGGGTCGTCAGGTGGATGCTAACCACGCCACATGGACGGTATCTGACGACGATCTTGCATTCCCGATGATTTCATTGGGTACTAATGGATGATCGACACACCCCGTTACTTCCTTCAAGAATCATTTTTTAACTTTACTGTCAATGAATCGATTCTTAACGAAGAACTCTATCATACGGTTTCCAACGATAGAACGGTACAGTTTGGCAGTGGTGCTGATTAATGAAATCAATGTAAAGTTGCCTAGATCGTCCCCATTTATGGATGCCTATGGTACTAAGTATCTGCAAACTGCCACGACTTCCATGGTTGCTCTCACCCCGCGCAAGTTGAAGAACCCATCACACATACCGAAAAGAGAAGGGGCCGCTGAAAACGCTGCCGATACACACATCCCCTCCCCGAGGGCGAAATCGCTGGGTTCGAGATCGCTGTGACACCGGTCCAAAATTAAGGATGGCCTAAAAATGCATCACGTCGGTGTTGTTGCCATGGGCAACCTAAGTCTTATCAGACCCTAAGATTTTATCATACCCTCTTATTATACCCACATCATTTTATCACTCCCTTTTTGTTGTATACCTGCTGAGTTTTACGATCATACAATAAAAAATCAAGTCTGAATAGGATTAAGAGAACTCTAAACTGATGAAAAACAGTTCTGCTGTAATCACTTAAAATTACTGTGCCGAGTTATCTTTTATCCCGCTCTTTATTCACATCTCAGATAAAATGGGTCTCTGTTTTCACAGACTCATGTACTGGGTGATGATGTACTGGGTGAACCCTCCCACTATTGACCGTGCAGCGATGGACGGCAGCAACCAGACTACAATCATCAGGAACCTGACTGATCCCAGGGTCATTACAATAGACTACACAGGTGAGAAAACAAGCAATAGAGAAGCATCTTGTACACAAAGAACAAGTCTGTTATGACATATAACACCGCTGCTGTAAAGTCAGACATTACAAATTTATTCCCATTTTTAGTGTCTTTCTTCTGTTTGTAAGGCCAAGCCTTTTTGTGACGCGCCGATTTGAGGCATAAGACATGGTCATATAAAACGTCGATAGTACAGTCAAAATAGGCCAGATCAAGCATATAAACGGCTCTTCGTTATCGGGACAAGTTTCCCAAGCCCCGGTAGTACAGTTGATGATTCAAAGGTTATTCAAACACGAGATATGTAGAGTCAAAGTTGACCTTCAAATGGCTTTCTTATGCCTCATTATGGCGTAGATTTCGCACTGCATGGGGGTTTCCGCGTTACCGATTTCCAGATTATCTTATCTACTTCCGGTTCAAAGCCTTTAGAAGGGGTCACAGTGGCTGAACCCAAGTACACCCTGTACATGCACTGAATGTTTGCCCCTTTTTCTGCTAAGATTGGGTAGAATTTTGTCGCTGGCGATTTACAGACGGCAAGTTGTGGGGTACGGAAGAAAAGACGAGTGTTCATTTGTTTCGATAAACAATCATTGCCATAGTAATGGATGTATTAGTTTTCGGACGGAAAAGCTTTACCGCATATCAAAGTGCGTTGAAACGGTCGAGACAGTGCATTCTTCGCAGTTTTCGGACGGAGAAGTTTTAAGTTTTCTTACATAACTGCTTGGATATACATTGTACAGTAGTGATGAATCGGTGCATATTACTAAGGATAGATGCAGTTCTGGGTTCGGAAAATTTTTCCGAAACTTGAAGTTTTCCGACAGGTTTCCGGGTGAAAGTTTGTGAAAATACACTTCCGAAAGTGACAGTGCTAGCATGACGAAGCACTTTGGCGGAACATGTTCAGACCTAAAACTGTGTCAAACCATTGACACACTTCAAAGTATGCATGGATTAGACAGTATATCTAATGTATCGCGTCTATTTAAAGTTTGCAAAATGTCTTTTGAATGGGTTGGCGCAAAAATATTTGGTTATAACTGACGGATATGCACGTCATACAGTAGAAACTTGAATATGCGTCGTGGCATTGACACAATTTCTGATTGAACAGTTTTCGGTAAGGAGATTGCGCGTGATAGAATTGATACAGATCTCAAAAAGAATAGTTTTCGCGTATAAGTGAGCAGATGTACAATTCCTTATAAGAGGGCGGTCATACTCTTTATACTCGTACAGTGTAAACTTGAAAGTGCGTCGATCGACACAGTTTTCTGATAAAATGTTTTCGCTTTTGAGTGGGTTTTAATACACTTTACACAGTGCAAACGTCAATTGTATGACAGCCTATTGTATATACGTATATGTCACAGGGGAGATTGGAATCCAGGGGGATCCGGAATCCTCCTAGGAGAGATTGGAATCCTGATATTCAAATCCCAGTTCAGTAGTAGAAATACTAGAACTAATAGATTGAATCATTTTACACCTCCCCTCTGACATATATATGTATTTCTATTGAATATACAGCCCAAACAGTATATAACATATTGTATCATACGATTGACACAGTTTTCAGCGGTAAAGGGTTTCCGTCATAAGTGTTCGGATATACAGTCTATGTCACAGGGAAGATAGGAACCAGGGGGATCCGGAATTCTCCTAGGGGAGATTGGAATCCCTATCTCCCCTAGGAGAATCTGGAATCCTTCTAGGGGAAATAGGGATTCCAATGTCCCCTAGGGGAGACTGGAATTCAAGTTTTTTGTACAAAACTGGGATCTGAATATCTGAATTTCAATCTCTTCTAGGAGGATTCCAGATTCTCCTAGAGGAGATAGGGATTCCAATTTGTCCTAGGACAAGTGGGAATTCTTATACTTTTTTTACAGGACAATCTTTAATTTTAAAAGGAGAGATTCTGATTGCATCAAAATGCTTTGGAAAATAGACTGAGTTATTTCACACCTAAACTTTCGATCAATTTCATAGGTAAGTGAATATGTAATAAAATCAGACTCAGATATTTGCATCAGGCCATTGTGAGATAGTGACTCAAAAACCTTTTTTTTCACTTAGTGACTTGGTATATAAGGGATTGTATCCCCCTACCAAGCCAATCAGCTCAAGTGACAGCATACTGAACAAGTGATGGCGGAGGATCTTAGGAAAGATTGCAATTATGGAATTAGAACTGCAAATTATGCCAGGATAAATCTTGATTCCAATCTAGTAATTCACCTACAATTACAGTAATAAGCTTGCCTATGCTGAACTTGGTTGAAAGTTTAGGTGTGAAATGATTCAATCTATGAGTTCTAGTATTTCTACTATTGAACTGGGATCTGAATCTGGATTCAAATCTCTCCTAGGAAGATTCCATATTCTCCTAGGGGAGATAGGGATTCCAATCTCCCCTAGGAGGATTCCGGATCCCCCTGGATTCCAATCTCCCCTGTAACATATACTTTTCAAGTGTGTCATACGATTGCCCCACTTTTGGAAGGAAAAGTTTTTCATCATAAGTAGGTGAATATTCAGCGGAAACGGTGTATACTTCGAAAGTGTGTCGATCGTACGATTGACACAGTTTTCAGACGGAAAGGTTTTCCGTCATAAGTGCGTGAATATACAGTCTAAATAGTGTGTGCTTTGAAAGTGTGTCAATACCATTGACACAGTTTTGGACATAAAAGTTTATTTCATCATAAGTGGGTGAATATGCAGTCTAAACGGTGTATACTATTAAAGATTCAAAGGATTGACACAGTTTTTTGATAGAAAATTTTTCGCTTAGAAGTGAACGGATGTACACTTTATACAACAAATGTTAAATGTATCAAAGGATTGACACAGATTTCTGATGGAAAAGTTTTCGGTTATAAGTAGGCGGATATACACTTTATACATTACAAGTGATGCAGTTACAGCTGGATTTGATCATTTTATGAATATGGATTACTGCACTTTCTGTACAGTTCACAGTGTCAATCCTGCAGGAAGTGGTGGTAGAGCAGGTAACATTGAAAATAATAACCACTAAACTTTACCTTTAGGCTGCGGCACTAAGACATTGACAAGTATAAATCACAAACTAAAAAAAGTTCAAAAAAGTACACCGCGGTGCTTGCCACTATTCCTTTATAGGTTATAACAGTCAAATTCGTTTTGCTGCTGTTGTCCTTGGTCTAATATCTTGCTAGACGTGGTCTCTTGCAAAAAAAATCACATACACTGAGTTATGCACTAAAGTGCACATCTCATACGTTTATTTTCTGCGTTTGCGATATGCAGTTTGTTGAATAGGGTCTAAAAGAGGACTGAAAGTTTCAGCAACAGAGCTTAGCACATAACACTATTTTAGATGGAGACCTACATCCGTATTTTTATTATATTATTAGCCCTCAAACACCCGAACGGGGTCCATTCGGACCCCAGACGTGTATTTTTATGTGCTATTTAAATTCTTTTAATTCTAAAAATAATTCCTCCCGTGACTTTGTCAGTAAACCTCTTCTACAAGTTCTCCTAATTTTTTTTGGAGATCGGCACAAATTTGTAAAAGTAACAACGGAAGTCTGATGTAAGACCATCAGGGGTCCAAACGGACCCCAGCCATGTATTTTCACTTTCCTACACACGAAATTGTTCGGATGTCCTCAATATGTCTTCAAGGAAACATTATTGCTTTAATATTATGCAGTTTGCCAAGTAACCTCAACCTCAGGAATTATTTCATAAGGTTTTCAGAGGTTTGACAATTTGACAATGATGTGAGGTCAAAGGTCAACATCATGTTCATGCCTGCAGGTTTCATCCTGTTTTTGCCTAAATTATGATAATGAGCTGGAATTTTTAACACTTAATCATGCCATAATAAACTTCTTAATATGTTTAACCAATATATGTGCAAAGGTCACTGAAAGGATGCAAAAAGGAATATAAATTTGAAAGAAACCAAATGGGGTCCATTTGGACCCCGTTCGGGCATTAACGTCACAAAAAAAGTTCGGGTGTTTGAGGGTTAAGTCGACGATCACTCCAGCATGTCGAAGTTAGTGGCCGTAATCCGTGATTCAAAATCGACCTGGAAGTACATCTGATAAATGCCAGAACCGTAACACGGAAACCCCCATGCAGTGCGAAATCACACGAAAATCTACGCCGAAATGAGGCATAAGGAAGCATTTTAAAGGTCAATTTTGACTCTAGATATCTCGTCTTTCAATGATTTTTTAGTCCTCAAAGGCACTGTATGTAGGAGCTTGGGCAACTTGTGTCGATAACGAAGAGCCATTTTTATGCTCGATCTGGCCTATTTTGACTTTACTATTGAGTTTTTCCAGACCATGTCTTATGCCTCAAATCGGCGCGTCACATTTTATCAGGGGACGCCATGTTTTCATCTTTACGGCTAGATGGTGTGATCTGAAAACAAAGGTCCAACTTAAGTTAAATTCATTTCTAAACAGATATGTTTGAAACACGCCAAAATTAGTAAATGGTGATATCTGCCCCCCAAAATGTCCTTAGAACGTCACATGATGGCAACATTAGGGGGGAAAAGAGCTACATAACTACTGAATTTTATAACGTGATTTCGTATACAATACAAATGCAAAACTAAATAGGGCTAAAAAGGCCTGACTAGGGCTAAATGAACAATAGATATAAACTCCTTAGATTTTACTTTATGTTAGTTAATGTGTACATGACGAATAAATCTGGATCTCATCAACTAATGAACTAATTTGACTTACCATTGATTAAATCGCACCATAACTGTGGAATAACTTATCAACTGAGTTAAGAACGGCTTCGTCAGTTGCAGCGTTTAAAAACCGGCTGCGTCAAGTCACAAGTTAGAAATTAGAATGACTGAATTTGTGAAGTGAAATTTGGATGTTTGAAACTGATGAGTTACCGAGATAGTGTTTGGTTTTTGTATACTGTATATATATTTATATTGTAATTATACGACGAATTGTAACTGAACTGAAGAATTTGCAAAGACCCCTGACCTACCTCCCCTTGACCTCTTGAAAAACGGCTTAGGCCGAAGAGCTTGTACTGCTACACAATTGTACTGTACATTTTCAAGGTGAAATAAAGGTTGAAAAAAAAAAACTATCTATATCTATTTAATCATTTTTGATGAAATCTCTTGTTTTGTCCTCTACATGTATACAGTATTTATTCTATATTAGCACTTTCTATAGACCTGAACAACATTATCATGCAGGTGATGATTCGATGTTTATGTGGAAGTGTTTCTGCTCTAAAAGTGTTTTTCTTTCAACCAGAGAATCGGCTGTACTATTCCGATAAAGACGCAATCTACAGCTCAGACATGCTCGGCAACAATATACAACTTGTTAAGCCTGGAGACGGGGAATATGTCACAGGGATAGCGGCTGGTGCTGATTACATCTACTGGACAGATTACTTGACTGGTGAAGTCATAAGGCAAGAAAATCCGCTTCATATATTTTAACTCTCTATTAGAAATTGTAGTTATCATGGAGAATTTAGAACGACTGCGAATGTAATTGTAGTTGAACAGGTATTGCCTTTTCCCTTTAGTATCGAACCCTGTGTAACAATTTGCTGACATAACGTTATATATCACATCTCCAGATTATCCAAGTCCAGCAGGAATCAGACTTTTCTGGTTGATGGCCTGGATCTTCCAAAGGGTATCTTCCTGTCCACGGCGTCGCCTCCTAACGTCACCAATGGTAAGTACCTTTACCAGGAAGGTTATATTCCCGGTGGCATGTACGTGTGTTTGTAACAGTGGTACTGTCAGTGTTATTTTTAATTAGGCCACAGCAAGTAAATTTTATGGATGACATCCTCCACAGATTCCAAATGTAATGCGAGCAGGCGAGAAAAAAAGGCGGGCCGAAAAAAAACAAGGTTCTTACATTTTGAAATTTTGACTCAATCATTGTACAAATGGTTTTGATTCAATGGGAACATCACATATACACAGCTAACATCACATATCACTGCATCACAGTAAGAAACAAAACATAAAATCAGAGCCTTGTCTTGTCTCCTCTCTTTATAGTTATCTGCCATCCACCTTCCGGCATGGCAACAGACATCTTGGCCTATTTTCGGCATGGTGACCACTGTCAGAAGGCAACAAAATTTCTTGTTTTTTCCAAAATCAGGCGAAAATTAATGCGCGCGCTGATGTCATCCATAAAAATTACTAGCTGTGGCCTTAGCATAGTATTACTACCTTAACAAGAATTTGGAGATCTCATACCTCCATCAAATATGGTTAGCTCAACACAAAGTACATATATTTGATACGTAATTGTGAAAGTTCATTCCTCTGGAAATCTTTCATTTCAATACGTCATCAGTAATTAAGCACATGATCTCTACATTTAATTTACCATTTTATACATTTGTGTGATAATATATAGCTTGGGAAGTTGACAATTAGGAATTATGATAATTGGGATGTAATCGCCGTAACGAAGGTAGTAAATGTACATTTCATCGGCGCAATATGAAGATGAGTTATTTCTTGTTGACATGTCCAAATTATACACTACCAAAAATGATTTTCTTCTTTTTCTTAATCCATATACAAATTTTATGCATTTGTGTGGTAATAGCTTGGGAAGTTGTGAATTAGGGGTCATAATAATTGGGATATAATCACCGTATTAAAGGTGGTAAATGTACATTTCATCGGTGCAATATAAAGATAAGTACCATTTCTTATTGACATGTCGAAATAATGGATGAGAAATTAGATAATCAAATGTCCGAGTACGAGTGTGACATACACAAGACAAGCAGAGAGACGCCCATGCTCTTATGCTACGTCCTGACCTAATTATCTAAGTCAATACATCTATATACCTTTGCAAAATTAGTAAAATAGCGACTTGAGTGTATTATGTAGCATACAATTCATCACTGTGTCTTAATCTATTTATTAATTTATGTGCAGATTTTACCAGAAGAATTACAAAACTAAAACCATATACCTCAAAGTTTATAATGTACCTGCTATCCATAATGTTAGACAATGAAATCGACATGTAACTTGTACTATCTTAAAGTAATTATCTGGTAGTCTTATTATAACAACGCTTTAACCCTTTTTAGACCGGGGATGGCTTTTGCCGCCCGCGCCAACTTTAACTCTCACAAAATGCCTGGATGGCATACCCTAGAACCGTTGAATTTGGTAATTTTTCCTTAAAATTATTGGCAACAATTTCATATTGATTAGGTAAGTTAATGAAGTTTCGTGTTGCCATGGCAATGGGTTTCTGACTGGCATTTTTTAAATGACATATTCATGATTTATGACGTCATGCGTCAAAATTTATGACGTCATGCGTTAAAATTCATGATGGTGGAACATAACATTAGATTCTGGGTGTAACCACGTTTTT